GTACTTCTTTCAGACACTGTAGGTCGGGATCGCGGATGTTTGCAGCTGGTAATCTCATTCAATCAGGTAAACGAGGAGCTCTTGGATGCAGGTATGCTCTATGGATCGTCGTTGACCATGGTTATAACCAACCTCGCAGCTGGTCCGAGTCTGCGGGTCGTTTCTACCATGTCTGTCGGATATGGTGCGTATATATACCGCGTAACAACCCATATCTAGACCTCGGCAGAACATATCGATGTCCCTCTTCTGGCGAAGCGAAAGATCAGAGTCGGATACACGCCCGATGTTCTCACCGAAGCAGGTACTTGCCACCAGGCCTTGCCTGATAAATATTCAACGAACTCCGTACAGTTGCAGATATATCTGTAATGCTCGCCCTAATGGCCGGCCGAAACGATGGCGTCGCATACTCCCTCGTCAAGGATGGGGAAGCAAGTGCTTTTTTTTCGAACTACAGAACACTTATGCTGATTCACGTCCTCACAGTGGGCCCAGTATCCGTGGTCGCCGTTCTCTTTCTGCGGCCCACAGCTGAGCACGACCGCCTCCTCGCCCACCCGTACGGTCGGCTTCCTCGGCTTCGGCCGCATCGCGCAGGCCACGCTCGCCCGTCTCATCCCCTTCGGCATCACGCACTGCCTCTACACGGGCAGCCCCGCGTCGCAGCCGGACACCGCGCGCGACGCGGAGCTGCAGGCGAAGCACCAGCTCAAGGCGCTCGAGCGCGTGGACATCGACCGCCTCGCGCGCGAGAGCGACGTCTTGTTCCTCCTCACGCCCGGCGGGAAGGAGACGTATCATCTTGTGGACGCGGCGTTCCTGCGCAAGATGAAGCCGATGAGCGTGCTTGTGAATACGAGGTGAGCGGCGCCGCTTCAAGCTCGAATGATAAATAATGACAGCCCTCTTAGTCGCGGCTCGGTGGTCGACTCGGAGGCCCTTGCTACGGCGCTGCGCGAGAAATGGATCTGGGGGGCAGGGCTCGATGTCGTCGAGGGTGAGCCCGGGATTACCAAGGATCACCCCTTAACGAAGGAGCCTCGGTGCGTTTTTTCTGCCGTGTATATAATCACGACTGAGCGCCTCTCAGATGCGTTATGGTCCCGCACATCGGGAGCGCGACAATCCAGACGCGGCTCGATATGGCTACTCGCGCTATCAATAACTTGATTGGGGGTGTTCTTGGAGGAGACATGCCCGCGGAGTTGGGTAACGGGCAGTAGGGTTGTAATATCTATCACACTAGTGGAAGGAAAGTGCTGTATGTACAATTTATCTCGTTGAATTCGATATCCCTCAGCGAGAAGCAAGTACCAAGATTTAAAGGGATGCGCTGGCTGTGAGTCGTGTTGGTGACAAGCCTGGATCCAACCTGGACACTTGCGCTCGCAGCACTCCCTCGTCGGATTGCCTGAGCTCGAAAACTTTCCCAGCGTCCGCCATTTCAACGAACAGCCTCAGCGACCTAGACAAAGAGGAGTATAAATTAAGTACAGTATTGATACATTGGAAGAGTAGCAGTAAAGTGTGTGTATGTATGTACTCGAGCGAAACCACCATAGAACCAAGCCAAAAGGTATTTACTGTAGGTGAATGAGAAGATGAGAAAAAGAACAAGCGGGGGAAGATTTGGGTTTGGGTTTGGACTTGGATTTGGATTGTCAGTTGGACTAGTAATACTACACGACGACCTGCATACTTTTTTGCAGCCGTGCGCGAACAGCGAGCGGGAATAGATATCGTATCGTGGAGAGCAGGGGAACGGATATTGTAGACGCACAACAGGTAGGTAAGGATGGATGAGGGTAGCCGAGATGAGATGAGATGGGATGAGATGAGATGAGAGGGAAGCGTGAGCGGCGTAAGAAACAAAAGAGAATCAAGCAAGCAAGCGGGGATTAATTATATAGATAAGTAGAGAGCGTCCGCAGCGCGGGCGCATATGGAAACAAGCGCCCCGCAGGAGCGCCGGCGGTGTTCGACTACTCGTCGAGCGGGAACAGGTCGTCGTCGGCGGTGACGACCGGCCCGCCGAGCGGGCTCATGGGCGCGCCGCCCTGCCACTTGGCACCGCCGCTCGCGTTGCGCTGGACGGGCGCAGCCACTATCGGCGCCCCGCCGGCACCCGGTGCGCCTGCGCGCGCCGCGGCGGAGTACGACCGCTGGGAGAACATCGTCTCCAACCCCGAGCCCGCGGCGGGCGGGGACGCCACCACGGCAGCGGGCGACGGTGCGGGCGCGGGCTTGGTGCTGCTCATGAAGCTCAGGAAGCCGGGGCTGCCGCTTATGCTGCCGGTGCTCATCGTTGCCCAGTCGCGCGAGCCGCCGCCGTAGCCCGGGGACGTGCCGAACGCAGCGGGCGAGGGCGAGCCTGCGGTGGGCGGGAGCGGGGGGAGCGCGTGGATGCGTGAGTAGCCCGCGGCGAGACCCTGCGGGAGGGACTGCCCCGGCGCGTGCGCCTGCAGCGCGCGCGCGTTGGGGGAGAGGATGTGCGAGTCGCCCGGGCCGGGGACGTTGGGCGGCGGCGGCGGCGTGTGCGTCTGCTGCGTGAGGTCGAACGGGTTGGGGCGCACGTACGGCGAGCCGGCGTTGTTGTTGTTGATGGCGTGTTGCACGCCCGAGGGGCCGCCGGGGCCAGATTGAAGGTAATGTGCAATTCCTGGCGGGCCCTGGGGGTACGCGGCGTTGGCGGCGAAGAGATTGTTATTAGCGGGGTTGCTCGTCGTGCGCGCGCCTTGTTTGTTCTGCGCAATGTAGTGGTGAATGCCCGGGAGGAAGGCGGCGCTCGCGTTGCTGGGGGAGAGCGAAGGAATGGCGCGCTCGGCGAAGGAGGATGGCGCGCCGTCGAACTCGCGCCCGCCGAACCCAGACGCAGAGGAGTACGAGCTGGGCTGAAGACCCATTGGGGACGCAGGCAGACCTGACGCCTGCGGATGCGCGTGCGGACTAGCCGGTGGCGCACCGCCCTGGTCAGCCCATATGGACTTGAGATCGCCGCCGAGGAGGGAAGGGGCGGGGACGGAGCGGGAGTACCGGTGTCCGCCTCCTGGCCCGACATTGTGCCCTAGGGGAACACCTAAGCCGTGTCGATGCGGCGACGAGCTCTCGAATCCTCCGACACCCGGGGACTGCCCAGAATTCGACCTCGACATGCGCCGGCTCCGCTCCTCTGGCGTTAACAGATCCGTGAGGGAACTCGGGAGGAAGTCCTCGAGATCCTCATTGGAGTCTTCCAAGGTAGCCTTCCGCCGCCCCTTGACGCCAGATTCCTCGTACTCGACCGATATGTCATACTCACCGCCGTTGACACGTCCATTCATCCTGCCGGCAGAAAGTAGCGACGCGCGCATAGGGGATGACGACGTCCCGTTAGCATTCCAGCCGACCGGGCCGCCCCCCATAGCCATGCCGCTGCCCAGACTCGCAGCCATACCCATGCCTTTGCGGCCACTGTCATTGTACCCGAGGTACATGGATTGGGCTCCAGGTGCAGAGAAGGGTGAGGTGGAGAGGAAGCCGTTAGCTTGCGTCGGAGGCGTGCCAGAGTGCATGCGCGACGCAGGCGACGTAGCAGAGGACGGGGGCGAACCGATGGGGCCAAAGTCCTTGTTGGGGGAACTGACGCTGGGGCGGCGTGGGGCGGAGACGGGGAGTGTCGGGGATGGCGGCTTTGTGGCGGTCGGGGACGGCGACTTGTTGCGTGCCGGGGCGGTGGGTAGCTGGCTGCTCTCGTCGAGTACCCTGAAAGACGCAAAGTCGGTGTCCTTAAGTGGTGGAGCGGGTGCAGAGGGGGAGATTGTGGCCTTGAGGGGCATATTCATCGGCGGCCGTGCGCGTGTGGGCGCGGTGGATCCACCGGCGAGCAAAGGGTTCCTCGAATTGTTGCCCCCATCGCGCTTGCTGCCGCCACGGCCCTTGCCTTCGTTTTTGGCGCCACCGGCGGCAATCTGAGCAGCTTTTTTGTTCTTGCGGTCCATAGCCATGGTCTGGCCTGGCAAGACATGGGCAAGGGCGCACTTGTGGCCAAACTTGCAATTGCCTTTTACAAACCATGCACAGACATCCTTTTGTCCGCCAGCCTCGACCAGAGTATGGGAGAAGGGACAGGAGGACCCCGCGGTACAAGACCCGACCTTGTAGAATTTGCACGGCACATGCGACAGATCTTTTGCTGCTGCGGGGCTCAGACAGTGAAAAAAAGAGGCGGGAAAGAGGGCAGCGCACCCTTGGACGAGGACGATTTCTTGTTTCCCCCTCTGCTGTCGTCCTTCTCTCGATCATCGAGCGAGTCGCTGTGGTCCGCTGAAGGCATTTAAAAGGGCTATGGACGGGCAGAAAAGACCGGCAAAAAGTGGGGGAAGGTGGGGAAATGCGGGGGGCTGTATGTCGGAGAACGGCCTTTTGAGAATGAGGACGGCAAAAGGCCCAAGCAAGACTCACAAAAAAGGACGAAAAGCGCTGATGAAACGAGGATAAGCTGACAAAGCACCTGCCGCTTTCGGGTTTTTGCCATCAGGAGGCGCCTTTGCTATACGAGGGTTCGAAACAAGTCCTGGGGAACCACCCAAATGGCCCAATACCTCCATCCATGTGCCCAACTTCCGACATAATTTTTTGGCTTCTTTTTATTGGAATTTCTACCCACACTGGTCTTGTGGCTTGTCTTGCGTTACATCGTGTTGAAACGGCTCAATAAAGCATGCGGTCGGACCAGCTGTTGACCAGCTGTACAGTTCTATTGCAGCTATTTCACGGGGTTCAAGGTGCCAGAATTAACGGAGATGTTGCTGACTCTTGCTGGCGATAACCGGCCTTCAAGGTCTGACCGGAGAAAAATAGACAACGCATTGCGCTCATGCAGAAATGCTGTACCTGCTTGCCCGCTCACTGAATCAAGCGCCAGGAGGGCCAGGACTTGCGAACTGGTGCGGTTGACTGAGTAGCTGACAAAATCCGGGCTTGTACCTTGTACTTGATGAAATTGAACCGTCAACATGTCTTGACTAGTATATCGGTTAGTACACGCGCTTGTCATAACAGCCTTGTACTGTAATCTCTTCGCGCGAAAGCTGGGTTCGACTCCCAGGTCGAGAGTTCTTTTTGTGACTCTCCACTGTGTGTGATCACTTCTTGCGTTCCTGCAAAACTCTCGTGTTCATTTTACTTTCACTTCTACTGCCCTAAGATTCTGTCGTTAGCTAACAGTCAAAAATCGGTGAACACCATGTCTTGACTGGTATATCGGTTAGTACACGCGCTTGTCATAACATAGCTGCGACGATCGAGATCACTTCCGCGCGAAAGCTGGGTTCGACTCCCAGGTCGAGTTCTTTTACAGCTTGTTTACAGCGGTACCTTGTTTTCTCATTTCAGCCGCTAGTCCCCGACAACTGTTTATAAACTATCACTCCCTCGTCGAACTTTTTAATGGTATTCGAGCGTTGAAAGAACATCGAGATGAGCCTGGCAAAGAGCAAGTGCGGGTAGGCATGAGGATCCTTCTGAATAACGGTAGTACTAGAGCAGCTAACAACTTCAGACGCCAATCTGTCCGTCTGCCAGCCATCGAAAGCATCCGGGACACAATCGACGAAATAGGGAGGAACGAGCAGCGTCTTGGATGAGGGTAAACAGGGTAGCACTGAAATAGCCAACAGGAAGCATCATCGAGTTCGAACTTGAACACAGTGTTTTAGAGGGAACACCGAGACGAGCCTAACAAGCAAGTGCGGGTGGGCTTGAGGATCCTCTTGAATAAGGGGTAAGGGTGTAGCTAATAAGCAGATGCCAGCGCTTTTGATGAAAAGGAAATAGTGTTGTGGAGTGACGAGATGAGCCCCATGGTTCAAATGAGCCAGTGCAGCGGTTGGCTGTATCAGCGACTAGATGACACCCTAGTTCTTGACGTGGAGACAAACGTGAGTGGGAGAACAAACGATGGAGTTGGCGTCGCACAGAGCACAAACCGAGCGAACCGACTTTCAGTTGACTTTCAGGATCAGAAGCCTTGATTTACTTGACATGATGATGGTTGTTGCGACTTGGAGTTGGGAAGGAAGATGGACGAAGGTAAGTAGAACCTGACAGCGCAACACTGTAGATCTATGCAGCCGAGGATTGTATGTAGACACACGACAGGTTAGGATGTCAGATCGACCTGGCCTGCCGAAGCCGAGTTGCATCGTTGTAACGAGTTCCACAGACAAGAAGGTGGGCCCGTGAAAAACGGAGAAAATAGGTGCAACAGTCGATGACTGAGATAGAGGGGTTTGAGTCGATTTCGCAACTGAGAAAACAAACCGTGCTTCCAGTCGTGAATCGAGAGACGGCAAAGTCGTCGGAGTTTGTAGTGAGAGCACTTTCGGGAATACTACCTTCGAGTGGGGACGCAACAATCAGCAACCATGGCTTCAAAGCAGCGACTGCTTTGGCGAAAAATGTTATAACTTTTCTTAGGACACCATATTCGCTGGGGGGAAAAAGGAGTAAACTTGAGGATAGATTGAGGGGCGATAGTGCAGGAGTCACCTAGGCAGACCCGGGCATCGAGCGGATAATTTCTGGCATCCAAGGCAAAATGAACCGTGACGTGATGGACACCGGTGATGGTCGGTGAGCTGCTGGAACGCAGACTGGAACCTGAGGGCGTTGAGGTTCAAACTGTACTCGGAAAAAGATAAGCGTTGCACTTGAGAATGATCCTCGAAACAAATAAACCTGCCGATATGACGCGAGCGTGATGGTGGTTGGTGACGCGACGGGTTTATCCAAAAATGGGATCGTGGCTAGCGCCAAAGACTAGGCGCCGACCGGCGCTAAAACAGTAGGCGCTCGTTGGATGATACCAGTATCTTGAAACACCGGTTTGATGCCAACGAGGACAGTTCTAAGATGGACACATCGATGCCGAGAGTTGCTTTTCAACACGGAGATTCAAGGTCCGGTTTCCTAGAGAGAACATTCGGTGCCTATGACTTATGTATGAGTATGACGGTGTGCGCGGACAGGAGAAACTTTGTCCGAACCCGCATCGACAGACACCGGTGTTTCAGAGCCCTCGAGTGGTTAACGTTCAACCACTATTTATTTTACCTGGTTATCGGTGGATCTTCGAGATACTCGCGACAATCTGCAAATCCCGTAAATGCGAATACGACTACATATCGGCCGCACTTGGCCGCACTTACCCTACTTACTCAGATTAAGTTGAAGTGGCGAGTCGGGAAGGCTCGGAGATCATTCGTCTTGGAAATGTTGGCGAATCGCTTCGAGTTGGGGCTGGCAACGTGGACCGTGACTGACGACTCAGCAGCGGTTCACTAATGCCTGTAGCGACAAATAGGAGTTCTCTCGCGCGGAAAATCGGGAGTGTGTTGGCTGAATCGCCGAATGAAGAAAAAAGTGGACGACGAAAGCTAAGCTTTGAAAGACAAGTTCCGAATCCCGTGACACTTGATCGCCATCAAATAACGATCTCGGAACACTCGATGCCGATTTTGCCGCCCAAGACACCGCAACTTGACCGCAACCACGTATCACCAACAACCTCCTTCTGTAAATGATTCAACGGCCTCAACACCGAACCCCGCAATTCAAGTTTTCATTTCAAGTTTACCGATGATAGACGAGCTGAAAGTAGAAACCGAATATCCACCCTGGGACTTGCGATTCCTCTTTCGATCATGCTTACAAGTTACAATCATTTGTAACAACCGACGCCACAACCTGAAAAGAAAGCTCAAGACGGAAGGCGGGCGCATCCCCTTGCTCAGCGTTGTCACGGGAGCTAAAGTATAAAGGTGGGCGCGCCTCTACATCTTTTTTTCAATCTTCAATGGATCAAGGAAGCTCCTCCCGAAGACCTCAATTGAACAAGGGAAAGGCCTGTTTCAATTGCAGGTGAGCATTCCAGAAGATTTGACCTGCCTTCGGCCTGACATATTTTTTTCCTTATAGGCGACGCAAAGTGGTAAGCTGCCAGCGAATAGGCCCCTAAAATTTTGCTCAAGTCAACCCAGAAATGTGACGCCAAGAAACCCATCTGCACCCAGTGCGTTCGGTTTCTAGGCGGTGGTCTACACGACTGTGAATATACGGATACGGGAATGACGCAATCACAAGTCCTCGAAGGTTCGATACGCTGCATCAGTGCATTGAGTTATAGCACGAACGCTGAATGTTTGTACAGAACAGATTTCCATCGTCGAGTCCAGGATCCACGAACTTGAGCAACCAAAAGATAAAAGGACGTCAGTACCGCTGCACAACCCATATCATCACGGTCACCATCGAGGCTCTTCGCAATTTGAGGGTCTGGCCCCTCCTCCGAGCACATCGCATCGTAAGTTTATCTTTATGTTCAAAACTAGTCATCGATTTACTGAGACTTTCTGTGCAGAGGTTCCCAACTTGGCTCATCAGGTATTTCTTCCCGACTTACGACGATCTCTCCTTGACTTTATACTCCCAGCCCCGTTCAATGAATTTTTCTTTGGATTTGTGAGTTCTCGCGAGAACACAGGATTTTGCAACCCATGCTTATCGATGTCATAGAATGAGAGTTTTCCTGCGGCATGCTGCTCAGATGGGATTTTTCTTGGGCCCACAACTGTCCGAAGCGCTTTCGAGTGGTGCGGCCCCAGCCCAGATGGTATCGCCCGCTCTCCTGGACACTATCTATCTCTGGGGAGCTCATCTATCCCGCTCATCAGCACACGAAAGCAGCTTTCTCACAGACGCCCTACGCAGCACCGCCGCTAGCCTTTCGAATGCGCACTCTACCAATGCAGTCATACACACCATCCAGGCCGAGGTGTTGCTCGCGCAATATTTTTTCCGCAACGCGCGCGTCCTCGAGGGCAAGTACCATGCCAGTGCTGCAGTATCTATCACGCTCAGCTCGGGGCTTCACAAAATTCGCTCGGCGGACGCAAACTCTTCACGTTCTACCGTAGACTCCTTGTCGCCCGCCGCAACCGCTCTCGAGGAGGGAGAGCGAATCAACGCCTTTTGGGCTGTGGTCACGTTGAACAATTGCTGGTTTACGGCGGACGGCTCACCTCGCGACGTGTCGTACGCCCTTGTCGACATACCCTGGCCGCTCAACATTGAGGCATATTCAGAGGTGCGCTAATTTCCATCCACAAAGTCACATGCTGAGCAACGCCTACAGGATTCTTGGTTATTGCCATTCCAGAGTAGCGCGACAATCGTGAATTTTTTGGACAATTTTCCTGACCGCTGGACATCCCTTCCCGCACTTCACGCCAAGGCCGCCATCGTCTTCGAACAGGCGTCCCGGCTAGCAGCACGTTTCACCGAAAGTAAGTTCACACTCGGGCTGGCTTGGATCTTCGAGACGCTAAACCTTTTCAGATGCGGTGGGTCAGAGCCCTGATGCGGTCTGTGCCGAGTTCAGCAAACTGGATGGAGTCATCGAGGGCTTCAAACGTACATTACCGCCGCTCGAGCCGGATAGCAAAGACTCTCTCAACCTCGTCATCCACACCCTCGCACACGCTGCAACGATCCAGTTGCACAACCCGTTCTCTCTTAAGCCGGGTGGCTTGCGGATGCGCGCGGCCTCTGCAGCGATGGCTGTTGTCGGGCTGGTGCGTCAGACAAATCTGCGCGCCTTTGATTACATCGATGCGATTGTGGGGGTGAGTGTTTTCGGTCGTGTATCCTTCATAACGTCTCATGAATTAATTCCGACAGACTTTGTGGACAGCCGCGTGCCAGGTGCTCATCACAGAGCTATCACACACACGATACAGTCCAGGCGGGGCCAAAAATGCCCAGCAGTTTTTCGAGGGAGTTGAGACGCTTCTCACCGCCATGTCTGTATTCTCTCAGGACTGTCGTCTGATTGGTGAGTCTCAGAATACATTTTAAAGGGGACTTTCTTCTGATTTCGTCTTGAGAATTACAACTGGCCACTGTACAACAAAACTATGCTGCTGTCAGGAACAGCCGGTAGGCGTTTGGGCCTCGAATTTACCTTGTACAACGGACTTGTAGATGCAGAATTTTAGATTCAGCGGCAACGGACATAGAACGCTTCTAGCTCTACATGTAATCTAGCCACATCGTTGTAAAAAAAATCTCATCCAGCAGCGTTCGATACAAAACAAAAAGTGCACAAACAACCTTCTTCCATTACCGTGTTAATAAGGGACAACTACAACGTCTTCTAGAACTGTGAAAGGACAACCAAGCGACAGTTGAATATGCGCCGTGCTACATGCCGAATGCCTCAACATGCAAGTTGATGTTGGGTCCGCCTTTCAACGATGACATTGATTCCGCGCGCAGTGCTGAGCGTACGTT